TGATTCTTAGAATAAAGCATGCATTGGTTCACATGCCTCTGCATCCCCTGCGTCCTGATTTCTTCTGCACCTATACCTCTGGGCCCCCAAGCCCTTTCAGGCTTGAATTGTGGTCATTGACCGGTGACATCTGGATATTTAGTAATTTGTGAATAAGAACTACTTTCCTTCAAACTGCTGTTGCATTAATGTGTCTTACCAGAGATAGCGAAAATACTTCATAGAAACAATAGTGGAAATTTTAGTTAACTGGATTTTTCCCATACCTATGAGGCTTATCAAATGTTTTCTATAGTGATGCTTGCTTCCTACACACTGCACTTCCCCATATTATGAAACAGCAACTCAGTGCTCTCACTAGTACACCAGATGTTGATATTGAAATGCTTTGGTGTGCTGCCACCTACAGCCATTGCTCCAGTGTGAACTGGATGATTCCCAGTTGTGGGAATGTCTCCATCCTTAGTATCTTCTGCTGCTCCAGCAGCAGTGCCCCTCAGAGCTGAGCCACTCTTGTCACAGAGCCTCTGCCTGCAATTGTTCATTCTGCAGCCACATTTCCCAATATTTTCCCTCAGCAGATCTGGCTCATGGCTGCCATAATCACTAAATTTTAGAAGAAACAATCATTTGACATAGCTGTGTTTACCAGTGAGCCGACATCAATCGTAGAACTAAAATGTAGTCAATTTTTCAATAGTTATGTGAAACCCATGACATAGCCATGACAAAACCTGACAGATCCTGAAGCAAGACTTGTCCTTATGGAATCAAATCCATAATAAACATAGCTGACTTCAAAATAGAATCGTTTTCATAGTGAATCAGGTGAAAAAACTAACACCAGAAGAAATTATGTTGGTTATGAATCTTATTTATGCCCTATCTACCCAGTTACTCCTACCTATCATTTTTCCAGAATACAATCCACCTTACCTTAATAGAGTACAGTGTGCCACAGGATTTTGACTATAAGTTTGGCATCTGCAGTTTCCATGGTGTTCTGCCCAAGGATGGCACCATTCATGGTGGTATAGGCCCTAATAGTTATGTGAAACCCATGACATAGCCATGACAAAATCTGACAGATCCTGAAGCAAGACTTGTCCTTATGGAATCAAATCCATAATAAACACAGCTGACTTCAAAATAGAATCATTTTCATAGTGAATCAGGTGAAAAAACTAACATCAGAAGAAATTATGTTGGTTATGAATCTTATTTATGCCCTATCTACCCAGTTACTCCTACCTATCATTTTTCCAGAATACAATCCACCTTACCTTAATAGAGTACAGTGTGCCACAGGATTTTGACTATAAGTTTGGCATCTGCAGTTTCCATGGTGTTCTGCCCAAGGATGGCACCATTCATGGTGGTATAGGCCCTCTTTCTTCAATTGCCAGTCAAGAAAATGCACTGTAGACATGCCCATAGGCCAGTCTGGCAGAAACAGTTCCTCAATTGATGTTCTCTCTTCCCAGTTGAGTTTAGTTTATGTCGATTTGACAAAAACTAACCAGAACACACTGAGTTAATTGCTATAATTTTATACAAAGGAAAAAATTAAGCAGAAAATATGAAATAAGATTTCTAGGCCAGATTTTCTTCATTATGCTCTCTTTTCAATTAATATGTAAATCTCATACTTACCTTGCCGACTTAAAATATTTATATTTAGATACTTCTCTTTATAAATCTATGTAAAATTTGTATTAGAAAACACATATAATTTAATTTTAAGCTTCACGCCTTTCTTTTTGTCTTGTCTTATGGCATGGGGTATGTTTGTGCTATTGTTTTAGACGGAGATAATGATAATAGGCATTTTGATTTTTTCTGTATTATTAAAAGCTAGATAATTTATCATTGAATAAGAAATTTGCCTGAGTTTTTCAGGCATTTTTATCATCATGCTTGGCTTTC